ATCTATTCTCATTCTTACTGTTGTTTGGTGTTGTCTTTGGTTGGTCTTTCTTCCTGATATTTTCAGCCGGTATTCGCTCTGTTTTGTTAGTGTTCATGCCTCACAGGCATACGTCATAATGAGTCTTATAATTGTTTTGTAGATTTTAATAATCGTGTATCGGGGTATTTTTTTGAATTTTATTACACTTTGAAGGGCAAAATAGCAGCGATGAGCACTTTGTATGCCATTATTTAATTCCTGTGTCATTATTTGTGGTGATTGTAGTCGCCAAATATTTTAATTTGTGAACTCTTTAGGTGAACATTTTGTCAATTCTGTCTCTCCGCTCTTTTCTTGTTTGTTGCCGTGTATGTACTTTGTTTTTCTTCATTAATTTTCAGACTGTAATGTTTGCACTTTCTACTATATTTAAATCGTCTGCAAAAGCGATTATCAAGTGCGGGCCTTGATTTCTAAATAGTGACGTCTACGTATTCACTGTTCTTACAATGCCTTCCAGAGCGATATTAAATCACAACGGAAAGAGAGCGTCTCCCTGTTTACCATCATTGTTTATAGCAAAGAAACTTCAAGTTTTTTTTTCTTATTCTCACTGCACTTATTGACCTTTCTACACAAGCTTTTGTACGTGTTATAAATTTTTTGGAGCTCCCATGTTCTGCCATAACGTTCCATAGCTCCACTCTGATATGATCCACTCTCCATTGGTCTACGGTTGAGCGATTCTTTCTAAATCTCCCGTGTTGATAAGGGATATTCCTCTATAGTTTGTACAGCACGTTTTTCAACGTCATTTCCAGAAGCTACATTGATTTTCAATTTGCTGCAAGCTTGTTACTTCATCTTGTGTTGGTATGTGGTTTGCGCATTTAGCAATTTGTCGAAATATTTTTACCGGATCTCTGGTACTTTTTTCTGTGTTGTTGCTAGTTTGCCATAATTGTTCTTTATAATAAAACCTTATATAAAAATTATATATAAACATTTTTTTTGTCCTATTAGCCACCCTTTGTTCTATCTCCTCAAGAATCCTGTTTTCTTGTGCTCTTTTCTTTTTTATTGTTGCTCTTGTTTTAGCTCTAGCTTTCCTATATGTATGCATGTTTTGTTCTGTTGCACATTTTCTTGGGGACCTGTTTCGTTTGGACGGTGCGAATCCTATTTCTCACTTAAAAAGAAAATTTTTTCGTGGATGAGGCGAGTGACTCAGAGCCAAGTTTTAGTATCTTTTTTGCGTCAACCTTTAGCCCAATGTGTGATTTTAGTTTATCAACTTGCAGTTGCTGCGCGGAATTAAAAATTTGTTTGGGTTAGTTTGGGTCTACCTATTCAGGGGGTGCGAAAAATTGACCTAAATTTTTGTTTTTTAAATACCTCTTCCAGTTTCTAAACCATAATTTACGGTCTACGTAAACCCGGTAAAATTTAGCTTAAAAAAGCCTTACTGATCTTGTAGGTTTGGATAGTTCCCTGTACATTGTACCCGCTCTTCACATAGTGGACAAAAAGCAGAAAATCGACTGCAAGTGGTCTTTAACCGACGTAACCGCCTTCCCCAAGACCTCCAATTTGCCAAATTTGCCTACATGTTGCGTGTGGTGGCAAACACTCGAAAGCAATCAGAATGCCTTAATCGGTTTTGATACTGGGCAGATACTAGTTGTAAGTCTGACCGACGGTCGGGTCTTAGGAGGATGCCATGTAACTGAGCCCGTAGTAAAATTGTACATTAGCGTGGATAATGTGAAGGATATTGTCTCATTGTTGGTAAGATGCGGATATTTCCATACGAGAATAGCAATTTATATGCTCAATATTGTTTGGTTGGTTAGATTAGCTGCAAGTCGGGCAAGGAGTGGCAGCTAATTTTAGAGCATCATTCCAATGGCTACACTTGGCCAGTAGAAACCACTAACGTGCATCCCGATGCGTCAATGAAATCGAAGTTTTACAATTTAAAGCAGCTGGGGGTTGACAAACTAGTATCTTTGCGGTAAGAGCGCCTGTTAACAGTTCATCCCATGAAACTCTAGATGTATTTTATAGGCAAAGATTAGCGCCTCGAAAGGACAGCCAAACTGACTCAACCAATGAGTCGTCGTTTTATTCTGAGTTGTATTTCTCAACGTCTACATCTGAGAGTTTCGCAGACAGTCAGTTACTGGGTCAATCAGCCGCCTCTGCCGATCTGAATAGCTGGAATTCAAACTCACTCAAATCGCATGAGGATTCTCAATCAAATTTGGAACTGCAGTTAATTCCCCTGTTCAGCGACACGAATTTCCACCCTCAAAATTGTAGAAACAGATCATTTTTCTCAGCTTTACACAAACCATCTGGACTTTTAACAGTGAGTTTCTTTTGTAAATTAGCGAAGATCATGCCCCCAATGTTTGATTCAAGGTACATTCCGAAGATATTGAGAAAACATTAGTGCACCTTTTCAAAGTGCCGCCCAGAACGGACTCTGTGATAATGACTGATAATCTGATTTATACTCTGAATCGTGATATTAACGTTATCTCTATTATCAGTCGGCAATTGGCAGAGACTCGCCTAGATGGAGAAACGGTAACTGCATCTTTTGCTCCTCGCGAATATTTTCAGGTGATTAAATTATCTTTCAGGCATTCAATGAAGATTCCCTAGTTGCGCAGTTTATGATTGACAACGAAGAAATCATTGCCTTCTTTAAAATCATGGACATGAGCGTAGATGTGGCGCCGAGCAAAAACAAATACAAAAAGAACCAGTGCCTGTACTCAACAGACATCTCGTTCTTGAAGCAAGCCATAGATACTTGCATGGTAGTGACCACTAAAAACGTATACAAAATATTTGTCAGGTAAGTTGCAAATTCTTGTTTAATTCGGGAGTTTTGTTTTGTGGTTCGCCCCAGGAACACCAGAATTCCCTATCGGAAACACTGTGCTTATTAAATCAGGAAGATAAAATGCAAAAGTTTTAAAATCATATTCGGGGTCATTCGAGGAGGTTTTGATTGATATTCCAGGAATAATTTTCAGTTTTTACTGTAAACTGTAGAACAATTTACAGAATTAAATAAGTCTATTGACGAGAAAATACAAGCGGGCAATCAACACATACAGGGCGGTTCGAAGTAGTGGTTAATGCTGAAATAAAAATAGTACTGATTTGAAATTAAAAAAGCTAAACAAAAAATTCAGGATATTCTAAACCCTGAAAGATGAAAGATTATTGGAAGTTGTTCGGAACGATGTCAGAATATTGAGACAATAGTTTGTGCTCGATTTTCTGCTGTGGAACACTGTTTATAAACAATTATTTATAAATAATTAAAGAAAGTGCCAAAGTCCGTTTTTGTGCATAACTGTCGAACCGTTGATGCTATAGAAAAAAGTTTTATCCTTTTTTTCAGGTATTAAAAATACCTATGATATCAGATAAATTACATTAAAATCCGTTCATTAGTTTACTCAAATATCGAAAAAAAGAACGGTCGATTTCAGCGTTTTGTTAATTTTCTATAATTAATTTAGTTTTGTCTCAAGAAAATCGTACCATAACTTTTTTCGGTCAGTCAGTAATGAAATTTTCATTTATTGTACGTTGTAGTATAACTCTTTACGAGCAAAATACAGCCTCAGAGAAGTCCCTCCGCCGTCCCAAGAAAAATGTATTTAGAATCTGACAAGAGCCCTTTTTACATAGCAAATAGAAATGAACAAAAAATTATGAATATTTGAAACTAAAACTTATACCACTTATAAAGTATACAAACACCTTCAAAAAAAGTTATAGTGAGATTTTTTGAAGCAAAACCAAATAAATTATAAAAAATTTAAAAACAAATTACTTTCATCTATTTAGTGCCCGGAAAAAATCTAATCTAATTCGACTGCACTAATTGTTCTATAAAAAGATATCCACTCCACTACCTAGTAATTTGGGTGCGAATCTGCTGGGTCAGCATTAAATTATGACCAAAGACCGAATGCCTTTTGTTCCTTTATGTATGGCAAGGACTGATGGTCAAAAAAGTCATAATATTTTTTATGAGTAACGTTTTACCATTTTATCGAAACTTTATTTGAACACAAAAAAAGGTGACCACATTTTTAGCTTTCCCACTTAAGGGCAGTAAAATGTGAAAAATCTTCTATTTTCATGCTAATCACTGATTACGATTCATCTTATCGCTTAATTAACAATTGGCCATTTAATACTTCAGCTATGTTTGGTATAGACAAATATTGAAACATGTCCAGACTAGGTAAATAGCGCCTATACAAATTTAAATGCACTTCGTCCACTACTCCACTGGGCAGATGCAACAAATGGTATTTTATTTCAGAAGCACTGCTATTGGTCGAAACAGATCAAGTTCCAAGGACAAGGACCAGCTCAGAATAGGGTCGTTGCACAAAAAAAATTTTTGGTTGAAACTTCTCCCAAACATAGCGTGAGGGTTGTTTAGAAGAATGCGTAAAGCAAATTTCTAAAAAAAACAAAAATTTAATATCAATAAAAGGGAACGAAAGTTACCAGATTTGCTTAATGACGTCACGCGAGAACGTTGTTTTACTGGCTGTGACGTAGCGTAGCACAAATCCTACGCTTGTTATATGCCCATAACCAGCAGAATGCACACCACAGAATATCCCCCCTTAGGACTTGGAACAAAAATCAAATAATTTTCTATCAAAAATCGAACAGAATCAGCGAAAGTTTGTAATAAATTATTTGTAAAACTCGTCACCTCCATTCCTCTGAAGACTGCAGAGTTTGTAAAAAATGTGTTTTTTAGTTTTGAATGTGTCTGAAATGTCATCCACGTCAATTGAAAAATGTGGATTTTTTGCCATTAATTTGATGTCTCTCGTTTGTTTATTTTCGTATCTGTACCATTCAAAACTGTTAAGGTTTAGAGCAGCAGTCATCACTGCTGGCGATATTTATTTTAACTTTGTGTTCGTTGGTACATAATGAACTTCCTTAATACAATTTAGCTTTTGAATCTTCTTTACTTAAAGTACACCTGGCACAGTTCACAATCGTCTTCCATTCTTCTCCTCCACTCTCACTCAACTCTTTCCACATGTGATTTATTTTTTTAAGTAATTTTAATTCTGCATTATCTAACTAACAAAAGTGTTATTTGGTGAGACCCTTTTTCATTTTTGTTTTTATCTACTCGTCCATGTTTCGTGCACTTGAACGATTACTATTTACTTCTTATGTAAAAACGTAAAGCCACGGATCTGAAGTTATTCTTATCTGCTTCGAAGATCGGAAGTGATTCACTAAAGCGACTAGGCAAACTCCCGGTTTTTTATTTTATGGATGAATTTGCATTTACAAGTTTTATTCAAACTAAAAGTTTCAGACATGGAAGTGATTCTTGATGATCTTACTACTCCTGAAATGAACTCAGCCATGAAAACTAGCAAACTAATTTTAATAGGCACAGTAACATAAGTAAGTTAAGACTTGTGAGCGTACTTTGTTATAAATGAATGATTATTGATTAAATACAGGCACTTTAAGGAAAAATTGAATGTCGGCAATGAAAAAATCTAAGTAGAACTAGAAACTTTGCTAGTCCTCCCAAATTAACTGAAATATCCGCATACGTTCAAAGCAAAATTTTATTCATTAATCCATTGAATTTATTACAAATCCTGGAAAACTTATCAAATTAACTTATCAAGCTCAGTCATAAGAGTAATTCACAGATTGAAAATAATCCTATCTTTCCTTTGAAGGAAAATGCGGCAACAACTATTTGATTTTCCATAGCTGTCGGTGTTTTCTCTTTGAATTCGTCTAGACTTTTGAGGAACACGCTGATATTGACAAATAAAATTGATTTAATACATGTGGTCTCTCATAAGGAATTACTTCTGCGAAAGAACGCTTTTAGCGTGTTTCGCTTTTCAGATTTAAAAAAGATAGTGTTTTCTAAAATGTTTAGATCATTGCATCTGGCAAACATATGTTTAGGGGGGGGTATTCTGTGAATGCACACTTGCATATTCCATTGGAGCAATCAGATGGTTTTTAATACATTAACATTAAGGGCATAATAAATATAATTTATTATGCCATCTGGGGTTTGACGATATCGATACTTTATGGTATTAGCTTTCTTGTAATCTGACCATGTAAGAGCTTGTTTGACTGGATCTTCCTGCTTCTGAATTTAAATTTCTCAACAATCGACTACGGTGTAAACTTTACTATAATGTGCACGAAAACTTATAGGTTTTTTAGACGTTTTTTAACTTTATTAGCTGGCATCCAGACTRTTAAACCTTCAACATCTCGCTAATTAATGAAAGGGAGTGCAAAAATTCTACTCGTTGTACTTGTTGAAARTTCAAAATCATCACCTAGTTCAGCAAAGCAAAAGTTTTGTGAATTCGAATTTTTGGAAGAACTAGATAAATATTTAGAAAACCCAGTTTTGTAGTWTCTCTAAGTAGCTTAATTATAAATAAAGCTGTATTTATACCCAGSTATAATCTTGCATCTAAAGCGTCATTTATACATKTTATTTAAGTCTATTACGTTTCAAAACTACGGCTCGTACAGAAGCGTCACTRCTGTCKTTTTGGCACTTCTGTCTTTTTRGCWCGCAAATTTATGTGGRACAACATCTTTYTYATTGTTTTCTGAACTCTCATCATTTTCCATGTCTTTTTCAAGCTGTGAAATAAAATAAACAAAAAATGCACATAATGAAGGCAAACCTAAATCTAACGAACACCCAGGGTTAAGAACCCTATAAATATTATTGCTTTTATGCGAACTTATATCGAAATGATCCTCACAGGCATAAATGTTACTTTTTGCAGAAAGATCGGTGCAGTTTCACCGCGCTGCTTTCAACCACAATTTCCGTTTCTTTTCGTTCAATGGCACTTTTACAAATGTTTTTCCTGGTGCAGACGTAGTGGTACTTGTACACTATGGCACCATACAGTACTTATAAGACATTTTAATTTCAATAATTGAGAAACAAGCAAACCAACACACAATATTCATATTAGAGCATGGAAACACGTATAAGCGCTGAATGTGGCGGAGCAGAACCATGCTTGGTGAAGTCACATTACGATCAGCCAAAACTCGTCGTTTCGGCGCGCATTGCGTAAGTTTAAACTTTGATTGCTGATAGATTTGTTATTAGACAGAATGTGAACAAAAATTGTAGGGTCCTTATTTGTTCATCAATAATCAATTTTATGAAAGAAAAAAAAATGTGCAACGACCYCATTCCGAAAAAATAGTCAGTCAGTCACAGCCTGTGACAGCCTGTGACTGACAGGCCTGGTCACATTAAAGAAAATATCGAGACGGCTGTTACTGCTGTTCCCGATATTTTCTGTTCATTGAATATTGCTATTTGCCGAATCTTGGGTGCATGGATTCGAAAATAATCAGGTCTACACATACAAAACTTAACCACTTCATGAAAATAGAATATCTCCTTTCACTAAAACTCAGGCCAATTGACAACGCCATGGGGAATCAAAAGGTACAAAGGCAGGTATTTGCCTTTTTGCTTTGTTGAAATATCGAAATTCCAGCTTTTGTACTGGTACTGACCAGCATCGTAGGCGAGCCCTGTTATTTCAAATTACATGTTATTTTAAAGATCGATAACAGGTACGACTGCTCCATATCGATATATGTTCCAAAATACCTGTAACAAGTATTTCGTGTCATCCAGGGTGGCCAATCGTACGGTAAGTACCGTACATATACGGTAATTTGGGCAATTGTACGGTGTAGGTCCCGAACACGTAACCGTACGACAATTGTACGGTATTTTGGTATTTTTGTACGGTAAATATCATGGGACCTTACTTTTAACCAGTGCGAAGGCTCTTTCATGCTTGAGCCCTATGGGGGACTTTTTTTAAATCTCTGGTACGGTAAAATACGGTATTTTCAAATGTCTTGTACGGTAATACGCGTTTGAAAAGTTGGCCACCCTGGTGTCATCCCTACTTTCTAGTCTCTACTTGTTCTAGTCAAATCCGTTTCCCGCGTCAAACTGAGTTTCAGACGTTAAACCACTTACTTGTCTTGTCTAACGTGTCTTGTTACTTGTCTTCATCTGTGGTCCTGCATCGTACAAACGCTGAGCATTTTTATGTTGTTGTTTGAGGTCGAAAACTAGTTCAACTGGCAAAGGCATACTTTTGTTGAATATTTGCTTCAACATCTGATTATTTCGATTCCATTGCGAGCATTAAAATCGCTAATAGTTGTTGTCTTCAGGTGCCTAATCGACAATACAGATACTGAAATGTTTGGAGTCGGGGTTCAGCATAATTTTCTTACTCTTCGGTGGTTTGAAAGAACACTGCTCAATATTCTGACTTTTGTTTTGACAAATCGTTATTGCGTTTCCGTCTTATGCATTATTTGGCCTGTCTATACCCTTATGTTATATTGTGTATATGCCCTAGCATTTCTGTATGTTTTCTTTTATCTTTTCTGGATGTAAAACACAATTTTATGGTTCTGTCATTTATATAAATAATCGATCAATGTTATTTGATCTTTGTTCTTAAATGTCTTTATAAACGTAAAATTCCTGTCTTCTTATTTTTTAAGCTATGTTTTACTTGTCTTGTTCCTAGTTCCCAATTCGTCCAAAATCGATTAATTATGGTAATTTATTTTAACATTATGACCGTGCGTGTCTTTATAATAGTCTTTATAATACTCTTTTTTACTGTCAAGAATAGTTTTTCTTGCGACTTCCTCGCTGTCCAGGCAAGTAGTACAACAAAAAGTTTGTTGATTGCGTGTGAAAATTTCATTAAACAAGTTAGACTGCTCCTTTAGATAGTTACTAGCAAATGTTTTCCAGTTCAGGATATCAATATCACCTATGGACTATTTGTCTAAATAAACTTCTTCTTCAATTATTTCTTCAATAATGAACCGTATAATACTCATTATTATAATTTTAAGTCCACTGCAAGTTGCAGCAGCATAATATTATCGTTCGATCAGTCTCTAAAATAATTGTGTTGATTGATCCCTGGAATATCCCTCCTACAGTACTTCGAGATTCACCCTGTATGGCCTGCCCGTTTTTTGCAGATATTCTCCAGTGAAGAGATTTATCAAATACGTAATTGAAGAAAATGATCTTGAAAAAGCTGAAAAGCTATCCTACATATTTGCCTTCAATTTGCAACAACTACTGGAGTATTGTGGTGATTTGATGATCTCTCAACGGTCCTACCATTCAGGTTTGTATGACTGTTAAATTGCATTCAATAATTCTCTGGATTGGGTGGTTTTCAGGTATTATTCTTTACAAGCAGGCGAAAGTTCATTTGTTAAAGCGGGTTTTAAAGCTGGCAGTTTCCGCTGATTGCAAAACTCTTTTGAAATTCGTACACTTGTGTTTGAGCGCCAGCAGAATCGATATGAATATTACCACCCGAATACATATTGGTAACGTTGCTGTGATGGCTTACGTTGAACTGCTGCTCAGAAGCAACAGCAATGAGCAGGTCAAAGCGAATCATACCACGGATTTTATGTAAGTCGCATAGCATTTCGGGGCTGCGTTTAAGGCTTCGTTTTTAGGGATTTTTTGGTTCATGAATCTCACTTCGACCCGATTTTGGCTGTGAATATGACGTGCCAGGCTGGACATTGGAACATTGTGAGCCTGCTGTCGAAATCTAGAGGTCTTCAGTTTGAAACAGTGGTGGCTTTTAGCAAAATACTCCAGAACGACCTTTCTCCGAATCCCTCCAATTTGGATTTTCTTTATGCTCTGTCCGAGCCCACGTTGACGCAAAGTTTTCTTGTACTGCCACGAAGTGCACAGGCAAGTTACGATTTTTGCTCATTTGGTGCGTTTATTTGACAAATTCGTTTAGATAATTTTCCAGTACATACGTGAAAACTTGGAGGCATTTCCCATAGAGATTCTCAAACGATTAGTGATTCAATTGGACCCTAGTCAACCTTGTGCCATGGCATTTCTTCGAGCTATATACCAAAATGATAAAGATTCGTCGGGCACCGACTCCAACATAGATTCCTTTGACTATGAGGCTGTCGATGGCTGTACAACTGTGATGAAAGATCTAGTGGAAACATTCCTTTTTGTGATATTAAGTTTAACTGCCAGATTAGGTGCAATTAGGTGGGTTCAGTGATACTCAAATCGCCGCATTTAACGAAACTGCTGTTGAGTAGTTTTGATTTAGGTTTATTGGAGACTACAGTACCTGTAACGAAGCAGAAAGAGGAAAAAACAATCAATAGACTGCCCGATTTGCAAGTGTTGAGCTGCGGATACGAACATGCTGCAGTTATCAGAAATAATTGCGTCTACACTATGGGTGTAAATGCTGCCGGATGTCTAGGTACAGAAAAGGCCAATGAGAAGGGGCATTTTAGATCATTGTGGCTTTGTTTTTAGGCACAGGGCCGATGCTAACCAATACAAGTGGGCCTCGTTTGGTGAATACCCTACAGGATTTGAAAGTAACTGCGCTATCAGTAAGCTGTGGCAGAAAACATACTTTGTGTGCAACAGACTGGGGGGTGAGTTCTTTGTTTTTTTCTCATTTTGCGTTATATTTATGCAGGGTGGTCATTTTCTGAATCTTTGTATGGGTAACTTCTACATTTTTAAACATAGAGAATCCGTTAAATGGACAAAATTGGGCAGAATTCGATTGCCTATTGATCAACGTTTTCAAAATTTAGGTACCAGACTTGGTTCCTGAAATATCCTGAAAAGGCAAGAAATCAACACTTTTTTAATTATCATATAATTCATAAACTGCTTAAATTAGAAAAAAAGTGAAAATTGCCTTTGGTAGAACTTTTTGACTTGAATTCACTAAACTAGCACTCGTTGTCATAGTCAACTTGGTTTACGAGATAAGAAGTAAACTTTTTTTTTTTTAAATGGTAATCATAGTTGGCTGTGGGCCTTTTAAAATCCTAATTTTTTTCTGAATTTAATGATATAACTGTTTGTATGTTTTTCTCCTTTTGTTACCGTAAAACTTCAAAAGAAGATCAAAAATGTGTAGTAGGCTATGGAAACAAGAACTATATTATCACACAAAGCACATTATGATTACCATTTAAAAAAACATAAGTATATTTTTTATATCGTAAATCAAGTTGATTATGATAACGAGTGCTAGTTTATTGGATTCAACGCAAAAAGTTATACTAAGGGCAGTTTTAACTTTATTTCTAAGTTAAGTATATGTGTGATAATTAAAAAAGTGTTGATTTCTTGTCTTTTCAGAATATTTCAGGAACCAAGTTGGGTACCTAAATTTTGAAAACGGTAATGAATAGGCAATCGAATTCTGCCCAATTGTGCCTATTTAACGGATTCTCTATCTTTAAAAATGTCGAAGTTACCCTACAAAGATTCAGAAAATGCCCACCCTGTATACACAGGGTGTCCCATATTTATGGGACACTGCTTAAGTACATGATCAAAACGGTACCGCCAAATTTACAAAAAAGTAGACGATTATTGCGAAAAAATGATCCTCCAAAAAGGGCGGATCTAGCTTTCAAGTTAGGGAGGGTCATGTAGCAGAGATTCAGTCAGGACAGGCTTAAATTCAATTATTGCAGGAGTTTGTCCTTAATTCTAACCGGTTGTTATCAACAGTATTAAATATGTAAATATTTCAATTATCACCACGCTAAGAGCATGAACGATTGATGAAAGAAAAGCACTTTAGAGCTAAGGGCAAATTCTAACAAGCAAAATTATTCGATTGATAGGGAGGGATGATCCTTTTTCGAGAAATTTAGCTGCAATTTAATATTACTTTGTTTATTATGTACACATAAAGAAAGACACTAAGAACAAAACCACAATTTAAAAAAGGACCAACTGTAGGCAAAAAATTATATTCCTCCAAAAATTCGGGAGAATATTTTACTTAGAAAATCGTCTATTCGGCAATAAAGTCTTCATAACTTTCAACTAATATTAATTTTTCAAACATTTTTTTGCATAAGATTGCACACTGAGTTCGAACTCGTTTGACTCCCTTGCAGTTGCCGCTATCCAACATGAGTCTGAACTAGTTTTTATAGCTATTTCTTCAGGCCTGTTGGGAGTTTTGGAACTTTTTAAAGATATTGAGATTGCAAAATAATGGAGGTATGCACGAACAGTCGAACTGTTGCCAACATTCAGGGTTCATTATCTCCCAAAACGTTCGTAATATCTATTTTTTTTAAACAGCTGAACTCTATCGAATACTCGTGGCAACCCAAGGCATTTTTGCTTTTTGAAATATTTCCAACAGTTGAGGGGGATGGGCAAACCATGTGGATGGCAGATTAAGTCTCTCTAACTCTACATTCTATTTTCTCCGAAACTATATACGAAAACAAAGTTATTAAAAAGTGGCATTTTCGTCTAAAGTCGACAGTACGTCGTTCAGTACAAAATTTGCACATTTGCGATTTTAAAAAAATTGGAAAATTTTGTTTGCAATTCAGTTTCTCAACCATTGATCTTTGTTCTTGTGCAAAAAATGTTGATAACTGACCGAGTTACAGGGTAAAGAGTGGAAGTATGTATAGTTTTACGCTTGCCAATATTCAGAGTCCATTTCTTTCCAAACTGTTGCAATTACAATTTTCCTTACAGACAGTGAATGTGTTGAGAATACACTGCAAACAATTTCATGTTCTATTTTGAAAATGAGTTAATTGAGGTAAGTATTTTGTTCTGGAAATCGTCTTTKCGACCTTAAAATCATCATTCATCATCAATTTTTAGAGATGCAGTTTTTATAGAAAATCGTACGTTTTCCCACAAATTTAAAAATTTMCAAATCGACCCGATTTTAACAGTTATGAAGACAATTTTTGCAAACAAAAAGCTGKTTTTCCAAAAAAATGCGGCCTTAAATCCACAAAGAAAACATTRGTAAATTTATCTTGAAAAATYGTCCTTTCKACCTTCAAACTCTTATAACTTTCAAGTTTCTGAACTGACTTTAAGTTTGCAAAATACAATTTTTAGACAAAATCACTCGCTTAGAACGAATTTTTCGCCAAAAAATCACTACAAAATGGCATGTGTTTGCTAACTGGGTGGTAAGTTTTTGAGTGTCTTGGTACGTAAACTTGCAGAACTTTTTGTTTTGTAGGCGGACATTTTTCTTTTGTGGTATTTATTTTTCTCGTTTAAAAATTAACTCTGACCGGATATTTTCGCGCTTTTGCTGCATTTGTTACAGCTCGGCTGTATATTCTAATACCATTGATGAACAGCAGTTTTCCGTTTCTTTATAGGTCTTTGCATGGGGATCAAACAGTCACGGCCAATTGGGTCTAGGGCCGCATCTACAAGAAACGCCATATCCACAGTTAATTTCCGCAATATCACAATTGAAAATTGTTGATATTTCTGCGGGTAAGATAATATTTTGATTTTGATACCAGATGTAAGTATATCTAAACATCGTTTTAGGTCAATATCACAATTTGGCCCTTACACATTCCGGGAAGGTTTATTCCTGGGGTTGGGGCATTCACGGCCAATTAGGACACGGCTGTTGTGATAATGAGTATTACCCGAAATTGGTTAAATTCGATTCTCCTGTGAAACAGGTGGCGGCAGGTTGGTGTTTTGCAAGCAATCTTCCTATCTTTACCTGCAGATATTTTTTTATTTCCTATTTAGGACATGCACACAGTATTATTCTAACATGCGATGGGAAGGTGTATGGGTTCGGGTCAAATGTGTTCGGTCAGTTAGAGAGCAACAGCCGACAAATAGATTCGAAAAAATGCACGAAACCCACATGGGTGGTCATTATGCCAGACATTTACGTTCCTGTGGAAAAAATCGTTACTTCGTACTTTCACAATGTGAGTATAGCAACTGGTGGTTGGAATATTGATGGGGGAAAAATATTATCACAGTCCTTCGTTCTCATTTTGCATTTTTAATTTGAGTCTCAACACCCTATAAATGCGTAAGTTAATCGGCCTACTCACCAAAAACGGGTAAACTATTTTAATTCAAGTATTTCTAAAGAAATGTTTCCACAATTACTAAAAGTCGCCGAATGGAGGCAATATTTTTACTGATCGCTGCTCAGTGAACCAAAGAACGACATTTTCTGTAACTGTAATTTGTTTTACTTTATAAGTTTTGAGGGTGAATAAAAAATCCTATTGTTTGATCTTGTTTTGTTGCTAAAATGAAAATGGTAATCACCACCAGTAACCAGTAGATATGTGAAAAAACATGTCGTCCAGATATTCTTAAAGGCGTTAATTTAGTAACCCAAGTGTCTCCATTCTTTTTTTCTCTCATTCATACCGCTTTTTTAAATGTGTAGTTTGTGCCTCTAAGATCAGCTGATGAGATCTGGTAGGTTCGAAACCGGTTCTGAGAGTGTTTGCATTTGACCAAGTGAAAACCCTGTTCTTGGTTTTTATAGTTGTTTGAATGTTGGCTTTCTCGATCGATTTCCAGATGGCCGTAACAGCAGACCAGAAAGTGTTCATGTGGGGCGCCAGTCCAGAAGAAATGCGCTTCTATCAGCAAAGAAACAATTCGAAAAACGCCGAGTTGAGTGAATCTTGGAAATCCAGCATCGAAATGTACGAGTCTAAGGCGAGGATTCCGATCAAAGAAATTTCAGTGGGTAAGTGCGAGCTCGATTGGATTCTGGAGTTTGCTGGATTGGATTCTGGAGATTCTTGGAGTTTGCTACATCTTTGTTTTTTTAAATCAGGATATCGCCATTGTGCCATACTAGACAAAGGTCGCATTTTCTGGGGTAAAAACAAAGATGAAGAACTGACGGAGCCCAATGTGAAAGACCCATACGAGGACATTATTGGCCACAAGTTCGATCATGTTTCGTGTGGCTTGGACTATACGATGGCCATTGAACAAAATGGGCAAGTGTTCGCTTGGGGAACCCCCGCAATGATAGAAGTAAGTCCATCGACCAGATAGCTTTCCGATGTTTGTTACTTACCGGCTTAGATGTTTCAGACAATTCTAGGTATACCAGGGGATGCCATCCGAAGGAAAAAATCGGACGAGCGAATGATCATGTTTAAGGGCACAAAGCGATCTTTTAAAACGCCATACGTCCACCCGATCTCGAATAATTTACCTATTGAAATTTCGGTGTTACCTTCGATAGTCTTCACTTTCAACGGAAAGAACTATAACTGTTTGTTCCGCACTAGTCCCTTGCCTCATCAAGTTCTCCTTCCGGATAATGATCCTGCGGAATTTTACGATCGTCAAAAATCCATCGGTCGATTGGATTTTAGCCATATTTATCACGTGCCTAAAGTAACGGTTACAGAGAAGACCATCCACTACGCGTTGAGGATTTATTTAGAATTGTATGACATAGAAAATGTTCAAATGAAAAGTCTGGAGCTTAGCAATTTTCAAGTGGCCAGCAAGGTGTCGTTTTTGAACGGGAACTTTGTGGATAGTTTGGGATTTACCATTGAAGCGTTCAAGCGCCATATTGTGAAGTATGATGTAGACCTTCCATCGCTATTCACCTGCAAAGATTCGTATGACGTTACCGAAAAGGACCAAGGCATCGAGTTGATTGTGGAAAGCTTGAAAACCGAGTTGGACAGAGAAATGTCCAGTAATTTATCATCCCCAGCTCGAGCTTTGAGTTCCAGTTCCTCTTTGGACAGTTTGCGTCAATTTGGAGAGGAAGGCGGTCAGGAAAGTCCATGCGAAATCGATATTCGTCAAAACATTACGAATTACCTTCATTCCGTTAACAAAGGAGCTTCCTCGCCGACGGCCACCCCCAAGCTAAATGAGAGCTACAAAGATATATTAATGGAGAAATCAGTTAAGCAGCACGAGCTTCAAATAAAAAACAAACAGGCCAAAGAGGTTCTCGACCTTGCTTCTCATATTGTGGAGTTCTACATAGAGAAAGTCTACATTTCTGAAAACCACATACTGATGCAAAACATCCTTTTAAAGTGCATCGAGTTCTGGTTATCGAATAATCTTCCCATAGTGATTCTCGAAAACATTCTATTGAAAAACCTGGACAAGTATTTTTATCCGTTATCGATTTTACTGTTTTGTAAAAACTTTGACGTCGAAGACGTGATCTTGCCCAAGGATGGCGAAATTTTGCAGATCAGTTCTTCGCGATTTTTGAAAGAATTTTCCACAAAATTCTGTTTGCACTTGTGCTCGATGGTGTTGGAAAATGCCAATAAATCCTAAAACGATAGATAAATGATATTTTTTAAATACAAATTATCGCTTGTTTTTACAGGGTTTTCATCTTTCTGAATTGAAACAGTTTTCGTCTAGAGCAACTTCTTTATTATTTCGTATATTAGCCCAGAAGTCGTTTTCTTTCTTCCAAAAAAATAATCTAAACCCTGTATGATTAAGTAGTAACGTTCACTCATATTTATTGTTGTGTTTTTGCTGCAACTTGTTAGTTTACGACTCGAATACTAATTAGAAGACTGGTTTTATTGATTGTTGATTTTTGTTGCAATTATTCCTAGTAGGTTAACAATTTATTTGTAAAGTCATGTAGTTTAATTAGATTTTATTGACTAGCTGTAATAACAAAAAAGTAGTAATCTCCTACCCATGAAAGAATCGAGATACATTTTCACGCACATTACAAACTTTTTTAGAACGATTTTATATGATGTATTAGGGCGTTTGCCAGCTCTCAATGTGTTGCGCTTCAGTTTTTGTATCCATACTAATTGAGAAAAAAATCTCGACGTTATCTAGCTGTTTGGAATTTGTTTGCTTGCTGGATGATTCAATCATATAATGGAACCGATATTTTTATAAATTTCCTGTATCACATGGCTTAATAAAGAGTGGTTATGAGGTAGACTGGTTTTCAATGAATTACTAGTTGAATGTTGAAGAAACAACTGAAAGGGTGTTAAAATTTGTTTTCCCTTGACTGAAAAGCGATTTTCCACACATCGCAGGCTTGAGCTGTAAGAGAAAATTCCAATTAGGTAGTAGTGAAATTAATTAAAAAATTTGTCTTAAAACTGTTGCGGTTTTTTCAGCAACATTAGGGTTTAAAAAACATATTCAGTGTTCTTCATAGCATTTTTATTTGTGCTGAAATAATACTCGGTAATTTACACTAATAAATAAAAAACAAACTAAATACAAATATAGTAATAAAAATCAAATAATCAAACAGATAAGGCATACTTGAAAAAATTAATTTTAGTTAGTTATCTTAACGTTATTTTATTCCTTCTCAGATTATTTAGTATATCGAAATCCGAGAACTAACCTATACTTTTACAGCTCAGCGGGATCATGCCAGCAGCGCCCTAACTAATGATGGAAATATTAACACAGCTCTTATAAACAAGTTAAAATCATTTTAAAAAATTAACGAAATATAACTGTTACATTGACATAATTTATTAGTTGATAAATATAGTCGATATAAGAGAAACCTTCCCATAGCAGCAAAGGAGTGAGTGATACTTCTTACTATTCTAGAAGACTCGATAAGGTCTGTTAGGATAAAAAATCATAGCGCCTGATTAAGTATGGGACAATTGTCCGAAATTACATTATTTTCTTTTGCAACTCCATTTTGCTTAGGCTGCTCTATTCTCGTAGTTTTTGTTGTCTTCGATGTCGTTTTGTTATCGACAACCTTCTTCGTCACTGTTGTGCTTCGAAAAGTCTAAAAATTAAGACACAATACAATGCATGTCGGTCATAAAAGTCGATTAAAACCTGAACACTATCTGGACAAGCAATCTCAGATTAAACAAATGCATTCATTAAATTTTTTCTATGGGGTCTAATTTCATGTATATGAGTAGCATATATAATTTGCTATACTTGTTTAGTTTATAATAAACAACAAATAAATGATGGAGAAAAAAAAATAAGTTGGCAACTACCATGCATACAGGGTGTCTCGGAAATAAAACATGGGTCCGCAAAAACCTCGTTTTCGAAATCAAACTTTACTTTGAAACATACCAAAGTACAAAATTCTGCAAAACGGTTTTATAAATTTTAATGAAACTTTGTGGGTAGCGAAGACTGTAAGACGTGCCTATTTTCAATTATTTAATTTTTACCAGTGAAAAAATCGTACGCCACTGGTTTTCTGAAGAATACAAATATATCTCAATTGATTGTTCAATACTGACGAAAAAAGCACTTATTTATTTCTGTCGCACGACCAACCGTTTCCGGCAAAAAAAACAGTTTCATGATGAAAATAATATAGGGAGAAACTGCAAAATACTTCACAAACCAAACTAAACACACAAATCGTTGAGGGAGACTCAAGTCTTGTTTAGACACAAGAGTTTATTTTAGGCAATATTTTTGGTTAACAAGATTGAAAATTTAGAGTATATTTCGATGTTGCCACCTACTATTATTGAGAAATTTTAACGGATTCCGCTAAAATATATTTTTAACGGAACACCAAAATTTACGTATACAGAATAATAAGTCGATTGCGCGTTAAAAGTGTTTTACAGGCCTTTCTTCTCAGATTATTTAGTATATCGAAATCCGAGAACTAACCTATACTTTTACAGCTCAGCGGGATCATGCCAGCAGCGCCCTAACTAATGATGGAAATATTAACACAGCTCTTATAAACAAGTTAAAATCATTTTAAAAAATTAACGAAATATAACTGTTACATTACAAATTTTCAACGGAATAGTTACAGAATAGCGCTTAACCGCTTAAAAATATTGCGTTACTGTTATAACATTTTGGATTTACGTCTATTCATAAATTTCCAAAAAAATCGGTATTTAAGAATGATTTGAATGACGTAATTGCTCCGTTTCTATATTAATATCTGGTTTGAACCTACTGTAAAAACATATCGGTTTACGCTGTAAAACCCCGCAGAAATAACAATACAAACCTGACATGAAGTATCAAAAAATATCCTTGAAAAATTAACAACCTTCTATGCATCTTACCTTTACTTCCAATTTATTGACCAAAGTAGAAGTATTTTTCACGGTGACATGACTTGCAGGGTGTCTTGTTATCGTTGTACTTGAACTAGCCGTCAGCTTATTGGCACTATCTTTCTTTTCCTTTTCCAATTCAGCCCTTTTGGGAACAGTTCTGGTGAGCGGCACTCGAGGTTTCGAAGAAACGCTAGTTAGAGTTGCAGGCTTGGCAGGTGCAGCAGAAGGTTTGGGGGCCAACGTTGTTTTAGGCGCCACTGTGGTCTGAAACGAACAGCAAATTAGCTCGTTTTCAATAGTTGCTAACAGCTATCTGATCCCACCTTGGAAGCTGTAGTAGTTCGGGCAGTAGTTGCTGTTTTAACAGTCGTTGTCGCTGTCCTCGCTGATGAAACTAAGGGTTTAGGCCTGGCCGCTGGAATAGTTTTGGAAGGTGCAGCAGACTGCGCTGGCGATTTACGGGTAATTGTTCGTGGTGCCGCTGTAGGTTGAGAGGAACCATTCACAGCGTTCGTTTTCGATATAGGGTTCGTTCTAGGCGCTGCTGTAGCTGGTCGAGTAAGTGTTTTGCTCACTGGAGCTTCACCAGTTGATCTGCCGGCTAAAATAACAAATTAATTCAAAAATAATCACACCAAACTGATTTAAATAAAACCTACTGCTTCTTGCTGTTGTTGAAGCGGGTTTCGTATTGGCAACAGTCTTTGGTTTGGGTGCAGATGGAGACGAGGCCGTTTTCGTTATCCCTGCAGGCCTGGATGTTGTTCTGTAATTGTATTATTTTGACTTGCTGACGAACTAACTCAGATATTAAAACATACCCTGTTTTTGCTGGAACTTTAGCAGAAGGCCCTGCTTTGGGTGAGGCCGTTGATGTTTTGCCCAGCACTCGTCTCGCTCCAGGACTCGCAGCAGATTTGGAGTCTACTTTGCCTAAAAACATTCAGTTTTATGCATTGCTGCAGCAATCTTTAAAAACATCTACCTGTCGCCTTTTTCGCTGATGTCGGTCTCTCCCTCGACTTGGCTGCAGGCACTTCAAGGGCCGCCACTGGAACTACTGGAAGAGGTGAAAGCACCGGAGCTTCGGCAGATTGTTCAACGACAATTTCACTGGATACTTCTGGTGCAGGTGTCTGAATTTCAGGTGTTGGAAGCTGCGGTTCAGCGATTGATATGCTGGGGACTGGTGGTTCAGAAAGTTGCAAAGTGGGTACTTCGGGTTCAGAGATGTGCACTGACACTTCCGGTTCGGCAACTGGCAAAGGGGTCACTTCCGGTTCAGCGAGTCGTAGGTTCGAAAAATCTTGATCGAGAACTTGCGCGGTGGGGGCTTCAGCTTCAGCTTCCGAAAGTTGTAAAGTTGCATTTTCTGGTTCGGGGGTTTGAACAGGAGAAACTATTGCTTCAGGAGTTGGTGCGGGAGAAAGCAATGCGTCGGGAGTTGGTACGGGAGAAAAGGTAGCTTCAGGAGTTTGCACAACAGGTTCTTCTACTTCGGGGATTTGAACCTCAGAAGCTTCTGCATCAGCAATTTGCAAAACAGGTTCTTCTAGTTTAGGAATTTGCACCGTAGGAACTTCCGCTTCAGAAATTTGCAAAACGGGTTCGTATGTTTCAGGAGTTTGCACGGCAGAAACGTCCGACTCAGGAACTCGTAAATTAGACTCTTCTGGTTCAGCAACATCCAAAATAAGCTCTTGCGCTTCAGGAATTTGCACAGAAGATTGTTCTGGGTCAGTGATTTGCAAAGAAGGCTCTTCTGGTTTAGGAATATGTAAAGTAGGCTCTTCTGGTTCAGGAATATGTACGCTCGAAACTTCTGGCTGAACTACCGAAACTTCTGGTTGAACTACCGAAACTTCTGATTCAGAGCTATCAAAAGCAGGCTCCAATCTGCAGGGGCTCGGACTTAAACCTTCTGGTTCAGAGAACCGCAAGCTGGAATCTTCTGGTTCAAGAACTGAATTAGTTAGCGTATTAGCTACTACTGATTCAGATATTTGGCTTTCCGCTACCATTTGATCGGCACTTTCTAATGGAGATGTTTCAATTAAATCAGTGTCAGGTTCAGGATTCGCCTGACAAACTGGCTCAATCAGCACCTCGACTTCAACCTGGAACACAATTCAATAACCTCAATGAGTGATATATTGCGTGATTTGCAACTTACCTTTGGCTGAAACACTTCTTTTTCGGTCGAGTTAGCAGCAAAACTGTCCGTTGCTGCATCTTCTTTGTCAGAAATGTCCAATAAGGGCGAATGTGATTTTATCGGCGATAACTGCCCGACAAAAACATCGTCTTTAACAGAGGACGTCAGATTCTCGTCCTGTTTGTCGTCTTGCGTAAGACCCACAGGAGACAGTGATTCTAGATGATTCTTCACATTAATACCGCTAAATAAACAGCAGAGTAGATTTACCTTGGCTGGCAGATTCTTGGGGTGATTCTGGTGCTTGAAGATTTTTCGTTTCTGTCTCTGTTAAACGAAGCTCTAAAGAATTCGTGTTTTCTGTGTGATTGAAAAATGGCTCTTCCAGTCCATCATAATCCATCGTTCGATTCAAAGGTGTCGAAATGATTTGCGGCTCTCTATCCGTGTTGTAAGTTCCAATCCCATTGTTCTCAGAAAAGGTGTCCAAGTCAGTCGTCTGAATAATGCTATCAGCGTTTGGTCTATTTTCTAAACAAAGTTGTTCATTTTAAGATTAGTCCTTGTCAAGAAACCTTTCAAAACTCACCTAAAGAACTTTCTATAGATATGGTGGAATTTGTACAGTTCCCAATAGGAGGTAAATTTTCCTTATTGTTCATTAAAACATCGTGAATAAAGTCATCAACGTTCTCAGGCAGTTCGTGAACTTTATTGAGATCGTTCTCATCCAGGAACGGATTGGGGTCGCCTTGTTCAGCATAAAAGGAAGCAGACATAGCATCGGTTTCTCTGTTTGATACCACCAAATCGGACTCAGTGAATGACAAATTGAAGGCATCTTGTGTGTCGTCTCCAAAGTTAGCCTGGCACAAATTATTCGTTAGAAAAGGAGGTTGTTTAAAAATTACAAACATACTTTTGTAGAGATTGACTCTGATTTGTCTAACACTCTTGGAGTAAAAGGAGCGGCACTAGGCCCAAAGTGAAATTCGTCGTTTGGAACCTTTGGAGGTGTACTAAGTGGCTTGAACTCAGTAATATCATCCAAACTGATCCCTGCCAACAGACTTCCAAGCGCATTCGTTCCTGAATCGTTCCCTTTTCCCTGAAAACAAATTCAATTATTCCATATTAAAATATAGTTTCGTTTTTTTTTATCTACACTAGGGATGAGCAACGTACGGGCGATTTTTCATGTTTCTTAGTATAATTTATTGCCAAATATAATAAGATCAATAAATAACTTCAATAAACCAATCAATTCTCAATAGTTGGGTTCTCGGGAAAATGTTTTGAGTTGTTAGTTTTAGGTAAGAATATGTATGCGATGTGGATTTCTGTTAAACCAGGACAAAAAATAAAATATAGTTACTAATATAAAAAAATTGTAACCTCAAGGGTACATACAGGTACAAGGTATCTAGGTACTCTAAAAATATTTTTTTACATTATATGAATTGTAAATTGAAAAATATTTTTTTCTGTTAACATACATATTTTGAATAAATTTTGATTTGATTTGATTTTCATATGTGTAATAACTGATTCTGCGGAAAATGATATAATTTGGCTGTGAAAGCTAGATACACCGTTAGTCAAATTGTGACCAAAAAAATTAATAAAACATTTGCCGATAGAGTGTTTAGCTGCAACTACAGAGACAACTTTCCCAGATAAAACACCATAATTCCAAAATTAGCTTGTCAAGATTTACAATTGGACGAAGAATTGAAGATTTTTCTGTTACATCAGTAGTCGCAGGGAGATTTTTTAAAGAGGTTGAAACCTTGTTATGAATGAGAGAAGTACTAGTTAAGAAATTGTTTTCAATTGTCTATGAACATGAAAAAATGCCCATTTTTCCTAATTTAACGACAAAAATGGATGTGTGATTTTGCCCTGATTTCGTTGATCAGGATCTTGATCACTTAAATATGGAACTTCAACAATGCAAGTTTATACAAAACATGGTTGAGATATTCAAATCTTTGAAACGCCGCAAAACGCGTCCTTGTTTCCGTATTTGAAAAAAAAACAAGAGGCAGTTGAAAAACTCCTCCAGAAACTCTAAAATGTGTCAGCAAATTAGAAAAAAGCAATAATTGACTTTGACTTGAGAATTTAGGTCAGAAGAAAAACGCCCTTAGTGTGAAATATTCTCTTAAATCGCCGTTTGTTGTAGATCTGGAAACAGTTGCGGATGATTTACAAATAGAACTCACAGGTTTACGAAACTGACAAAATATTCACGAAAAAATAATGATTTCAATTTCCCCAAAAATACTCCAATATTCCGCAAATTTGCCATCTAAGTATAAAATTGCATTCTAAACAACTTTCTTTAAAACAAAAAGACCAGCATAACCCGAAATTATATAACTTTCTGTATACCTGAGTTTTACAACAATTAAGACGGACGATTTGTCAATTACTTACATTTTCCATTTCAGTCCCATTTTCATAAACATCACTGGGTCGTGACCGGACTTCACTTTCAAATTCTAATTCACTGGGTACCATCCCAACGAACGGTGAGGGCCTTTTTGGTGATTGCGAAATGACCTGCAAATTCACAGGGTGATTTTTTCGGGAAACTTATTAAATGATTTACTTACCTGATCGTCCAACATTGGCCGACAGACCGATGGAGATGGAATGCTACGAGTTGGGGAAATTGGTACAAATTCCGCAGCATTCGGGTTTAGTTGAGACATTGTGTCGTCTTCTTCTGAACTTTCCACGATCTAGGAAAACCATGCTGTTTTAGACCGGGTTTTATGTAAAATTCTGATTATTTACCAGTAATTTTTCGGGCTTCTCTTCGTCTCCTTTGATGTAGTTCCACTCGTCTTCGGAATCGCTTTCAGTGGGATTTACTTCTAGGCCCCCAACATCATGTGCTGATGATTGATAGAAGACAAAAAAAACGTTATTCTAGTCATTAGCAAAATATCTTGAACATTATTTAATTCATTAGATGGTTGATTAAATTTGCAAACAGGAAGTCTGAATGCAACCAAAAATGGGGCATGATGAAGTCTAGTCTACCAGAAATGGCGTGCGTTTTTAATGAGTCACCCACCTTCCATCAGGCATACTTGTCGAGTCTGTGATTCCAAATAGAGAGTATTTATGCGCGAATAAATTTAAGTGAGAAATTGCAGTAAATACATTATTTGCAGTTATTTAATACTGTTTCATATTCATGAAGTAGGTGAGAAATCAGTCGGAATTCTGACCATAAATGGCATGAAATTAGCAAGAGTTTGAAACTATGCCGTTTGGAGCGCTTTATTGCATTTTTAATACAAATATCACCCATCTGCCCACAAACCGAGTACTAACTAGTGAAACCCACATCATTTCACTAAAAAAGATCAGATAGTCCGCCTATTACCACATAAACTGAAGCATAAGGGATTAAAATTTATGTCTTCAACTGTATGTAGTTGCAATATATTTTTAGAGTGCCACCTTTTATTAATAGCAAGCTGGAAAGGTTCTTACAGAAAGTCCTAACTGTCTTGTACTTCTTAGAATAGATTAAGTCAGGCTAAATATACCTACATCTGAGGTTTAACGCACTGAAGACAACACAAGATGTGGCTCTCTGGAGACAAAAGCAGTTGAATAATTAACTAGTTGTGAACTAGCTTAAATCGAGTATGTATGAGGAAACAGTCAAAGCAAATCGCCAATATCGATGGCTAAAGACCGGCTGAACGGACTTGAAATGATCAGTAATTAATCAAATAAAACCTTCCAGCAATGGAATGCTAAACGATTCTATATTTATTCAAAGCTTTGATGTACTGGGTATTACAACCTGAAGAGAGAATATTGAAATATGATGCAGCACAGTAAATAATTGATGATGAAGTTGATATGCATATTTTCTTTTAAAGCTGTGTACCTATTATAACAGGATATGAACTCCAATCTCTATGTAGTTAGGCATTTAATTGTGCTACACGCTGTAAGTAAAATGTTTTTTCCACATTTATTTACGTTTACCATACGTTTGAAATGTTCCTTCATAACATGCACAATGAATACGTTCGTTTATCTTTTTTCTTTCGTTGCTACTGGAATTTGGCATGTCAACAACTGTGGGTAACGCACTTAGTATTACACAACTTACAATATCGATGGAATACCATTAAACATCCACAAACTAAAAACACATTTTGTCGTTTTGCCAAAGTACATCAATATTCGATTCGCATCTATTCTTATATACAAGGTGGTTAATTTTTGCAATATTATACATAATTTTCTTCATTACGGCGGTTTGAAAGTTATCAACGATAAGATTGTGCAATCGACCTAAAGCAAAATCTTCCATTATGCCATATTTTACTTATAAATTTAACATCATATCTCTTTTATCTGCAGATTACAACTTTGCGACCAAATTCATAATGATTCATAAGAAAAATAATTTCTTATCTGTGTTAGTGGGCAGTTCCAGCATTAATTATAATACTTCACCATCATTTGTATAGTAAACTAGTGAAAAACATTTTTATACTGTTGTAATGTGTCGGTCATTTCGGATCATGTTAATATCCATAAAACACCCTTAAGTGCCTTTATATTTAAATAAGCTATTCATTGTATTGGCATTCCCAATAATTATCCACAATCATTCCAACATAAACTACTTTATTTACGACACATTTGCTTTCTCACCCATGAAAAGGCTCTTGAAAAGAAACTCTGAATAACATAAACCCCATTCGAGTACTCATATTTCCAAACAGCCATACATTGGCTGTCGACATCTCTTATCTGGAAGTCAAGCTAAGGGTTATTTTAGAAATAAGTAATAATTTAAGCCCGATCGTCGTCTGAACTAGAGCTCCTATTATAAAATTGTATGTTCAATATATAAAGGTAATAAACAGTATTTAAAGTTCTTGCTTCATTTTATTTGAACCTGTACGGCTTCAAAAGTGGTCCATTACACTAAGTAAAATAGAAACGAGTCAATTGCGGACATTTAGGAATCCGGTTTTTAAGCATTTTTCTAACATACAGAAACTGGGCAGTTTTTGGCTTTCAGGCCGCCGTGGAAACTAATTTCTTTCTGACGATTCGCAAGCACAAGGCACAAGTCGCTTGCATCTTCGCAGATGTTTCGCGTCTAGCTTTTAAACGAAACACCTCTGAAAATGCCGATCGTGTCAGGACAAAATTATTTTCCGCAAAATCTCCTGACATATCAAATTTAGTTCCCAAAATGTAGATAATTCATTTCTTATCGGCTAAAATGACGTTATTATTTATTTTATTTTAAGACCTTTGATTAACAACAAATAATTTCTGGGAGTTTTAATACCTTTATACACAATGTACTTTAAGTAGGAATTCAGCTTTATCATATTTAATTATAATTATTGTTTGACGCTGTGAAACAACTGTGTGTTTTGTTCAAATCGAATCTTTATCACGGAGCAATTAATCCGTTCAGAACTGCACAGTTTTTTCATATAATATACAGGGTGATACAAAATGGGACGCTGAAGAGGTGTTTAGAACGTACTGGAAGAGTACTAACTTCAAGATTTTAACAGATGAAGATTAGACATTTTAACAGAATAATCTGGATACTTGGATACCTATTTGCATTCAGTTTCGTATATGTTGAGTCTAAAGAGTGAAATTTTGCCATTTTGTGTAACTTTTAAGCCTATCTCGCATGTTTTCTTATGAACCAAATTATTTGCATGTAAATTAGTGGATTCATAACATGTTCATCTGCCAATAGCCTAATGGAACATGTGATTTGACTAAAATCAAAAGTAATATATTGCGGCCAATTGTTTCATTCATTTACAGTTTCGTTGTTTATTTATGTGCTTTGAGTGAAGGGAAATGTGCAAACCAGAATTAATGCTGAAATACTGTCTCACGATCATGAATGTTATGAAATTTGTTTTTTATGAAAGGAAAATTTATGAAATAGTGTTAAACATGTGCAAAAACGTATCAAACCGGTCTATTTACAAAATGATAAGTTCATTTATGGCTAAGAAATCTGTTTTAAAAATGGATTTATTATTTTATATTTTTTTCTTTGTAAGTGCGCCCTACAACACCTTCAATTTTGAGATACACAGGGAGTCGGGATTAAAGCAGCATATGAGAACCGTGCATAAGAAATTTAGTTTCAGAAAAAAGTTCCTTTGAATGCACGTCTGGGAAAGCTGCGTGTAGCATCTATAGGATAGAAAAAATTGCAATTGCAAAAAAGCATGTGAATCAAATTGGAGTGACAACACGGTACTAAATCACATTTATTGCCCCAAATAAACCAAAAGTATTTTAAAAAAATGGCGTTTTGCTTAAAATAATTTTTCATGGTATGTCGGCAGCATATTCAAAAGCGCAATTTTGGCAAATGATGGCCGACCCCAAAATGGTTCAAAGGTTTGGTGCATCAACTCGAAAGAAATCAGTTGGTTCCAGCTATCAAAGAACAAGTTCTGGTAATTTCTGTACCAAGACACTCAAGATTTCCTCATTCGACCATCTATAGCAGAGACGCCGGACATTTTTCCTTAATAAAATTTAGGTCATATAGTCTTAATTTGAGCCAAAAAAGTATCAGTGCCCTTTTGATCATGTGCTCACGCGAGACTGTATAGATTGCGGTAGTCCCCAGACAGCCTGGATTATGTTCATTCCACGAAAGAAAAAGTCTATTCGTTTTTTGTGTAAAAAACTGTCTGAAAACTGTGAAATCGTCGTAAAACCGCTCAAGAAAATACAAAGTGAAAGCAGTGATGGCATTGATTTCCCGGCCTAGGGCAACATTTCCCCTAAAGAACCGGCAATTTATTGCTCCCGAATTCCTGGAAGCTTGTTGCTAGGCATGGAATCGATTCGGATCTCAGCCAAGAGGAACGCAGTCTATGCAGCGGCAAGCTGCAGCTGGATTTCTGCACGTCTATCGCAAAAGGTCTAGGGATGCAAAAATTGTAATCGAGCCATCAGGCAGGGATTAAATAGAATTAACAAATGGTCTCCGATTTGGGTGAGATGTCGGGATATTTCCCGTTAATTGACGGCACAAACTCCCTGAAAAGTGAATCATGCAGCTGATTGCTGAGGGGAGACAATAACGAGCGGCTGCCCCAACAGGTGGCTGATTATCGGACCCCTCCACCCTTGTAGGGCTTGCAAGCTGGAATGAATTTTGCCATTAGTGATCTAAGTCAATGCGCCTTTCAGGCGTGCGAAGTGGGCCATACAGCCTTGCAGAATTCAAAGGGTTCACCACCAGATGCTAAATGATTTGCCTATGGTAAATACCAACAAAAATCAACCAATATGGAACGGTTTGCTGGCAGGAAACAACTTCACCTCAAGCAATATAAAATTCCAAGTACATTCCTACAATAAACATCTGCATATTGATCGGAAACACATTGCAGAACTCATAAAAATATATTGTCTTTGTTACAGGCGCTTGAAAGGCGTTTTCTAGGCGGAACCATATTTCAAACTAGAGCAAACGGTGACATTGTATTGTCAATACCTCTTCCCACAGTTCCACAGCCTCCATAAATCCATATTCGATGGGAATACATACAATTAGAAGGTGGGCTTTAATTAATGTCAGCAGCAATTTGAAAAAACAAAACAAGAACACATTCTAAGGTCTACAAGGGGGCTCGGCAGCCAAACGAAAGAAGACAGTTCGAAGGCTCAAATATGGATCTTTCAATGATATTGAGGCATTGAACAAGTTGGCCAATGTGACCTCAATATAAAATTGCACACGCTGCCTACAACTAACGACCCTGCATCTCTTAAGAATGTTGGTCATAACATACACATAAGAATATAAAGGGTGGTGCGAATTTAATATACGAGACCCTAACAACACTTTCTT